CTCAGCCATTCAGGTCAGTTCTGGGCTGTGCTGTCACTGCGCCTCTGGATTTTACACTGAAAACACTCAAATTACTCCTTCTCTACAGTAGCTAAAAACATCTTCAGTGCTTGAATTCTGGTAGTTGGGATCCAGATGATTACCGTGGTAATTGGCTTATCTRATTCCAAGGTTAAAAGTCAGCGAAGCCTTTGTGCAGTATTGTTGCAGACTTGGACTTTCCTGCATGGGTATGCTGGGTGTTGTCATTCCATCAGCTGACTGGGGTTTGGTGTCACCCTGTACCTTTAAATCCCATGATACTTACAGGGAGTGACAGTTTAGTGCTGAATAAACTGCAGGAAAATAAATGAAACTGAAGAAATTACGGATTGGATTTCTTAGAACTCGTTTGGAATGCTTCCTAGGAATACTTTAAATTTAAAATATCTGAATGATCTGTTTTAAATCTTTTATGAACTCGATYAAGTACTTTGAGCATGGATTTTGTATAATGGAAGACAATTTTKAATGTCTGAGAGGAATATAACTAATTGGAGCTGTGTATATATATATACAGTACAAACAAGTTATTTTCAAGTATATTTAGTGACAGAAATGTTCTTTGCTCCAAGGACAATTTAAATGCAAATATAAATTACAGACTTGTATTTTTTCATGACTTTCSTATGTATAAATTCTGTTTTAAAGGTATAAAGATTGTTATACAGCCAGATTCTCAAGCAGTGCTCTCTGGTCAGGTCATCAAGCTGTGTTGCTGGRCAACAGGACACCCATTCGTGCACTACCAGTGGTTCAAGCAGGAAAAAGAGGTAAGAGTTCAGTGAGAATGCAGAATTTCTAAATACTGAAAATTACACATAGTGATTTTAGATCATCCTTTTTTTAAGACTCATTCACAGTGAGAGAAGATTGCTATATATACTCATAAAACAAAAARTTTAAGAAATGCTGGATAATGATCCTATGAATGTGTTAAAACAATATGGTGATTCCTTATATTAAGACCATTTCATTCCTGGGGGCTGTGAATGTGGAATGGGACAGAAAGGAAGCTGTAAGTTCAGTTGTCTCTCAGCCTGCCAGTAACTTTTGAGTAAGTGAAGGAGTTGAGGACCGTGTTATGGACTTGGAAATAAATATTATAATGCTTGATCCTGGTTTAGATTAAACCAATTGAAATTGAAATATTTTTGRTTCATCTGTGATGCAGGTTCCTCATGGTAATTCTCCAGAGCTGGTTCTGGGTCCAGTGAGTGTAAAGGATTCTGGTTTTTACATCTGCCGAGTGAACAGTGAATCTTCTTTCACGTTCAGTCGTTGGGCACGCCTTGAAGTTCGTGAACTTCAGGATACATCTCATGGTGAGTAACAAAAATACCTTCTGAAAGTGCTTTCCTGCTTCCTAGAGGCACTTGGGTCCCTGTTGCTGTGCTTAGGTTGTCTCACTTCCTTTTCTTTTTACTTCCTTTTAATTTTTTTAAGGGAGCTTAATGGRTTTGCCCGAAAACAAGTTGTGCATTTGTATTCAGCCTCAGCCACAAAACCTGACAGTGGGGGATGCCTTGGTACTAGAATGTGGAGCTGTTGGAAACCCAATTCCTCATTACCARTGGTTCAGAAATGGATTTCCCTTGGCAAGTGGGAGCAAAAATGTCTACACAGTAAGTTATTGCAATGGGCCAGTCTTGGGAGCTGATGTGTAACTGTCTTGAACTTACCACAGAAAGTTTCCTTGAAGAAAGTAAATTCTCCAGAGCCTTGATATCCTCTAATGAAGTGCTCACTCCAAGTGCTTCTTTTAGTTTTTACTCTTTCTTGCCTGTGGGCTTAGATACAAGGCTTAAATATCTGATATAGGTATTTTTGAGGTCTTTTGGGATGATTGTGACGGTGTTTGCATAGGTAACTTACGTGGATGTGGAACATCAAGGAACATAYTGGTGTCACGTATTCAATGACCAGGAAGACCAGGACAGCAGGAAGGTTGAAGTTGTTATAGGTAAGAAGTTTTTCTTACACGTCAGCTCCTTTGTCCATTTTCCCACATCATTAACATTTATTTTTGAAGCTTTCAATATTAAGCCAAGCACATGCCTTCTATATTTTCAGTTTATCCATTTGTTAAAACATCTGTGTTTGCTTCCAGCAAATGGAATTTTAGGGCTTTGGGGTTTTACKGTAACCACCACAGAAATGTTACCACTTTTTGGTACTGCCAGCATATATGTGGCTTGTTAGCAGACTGCAAGCTGATTTATGCTTTTTGACAGCTAAAAACCACTTTAGCTCTTGCTGGGGACAAGAACTCTGTTACATGGAGTCCTTCAGCAATCAGGACAGGTGAGGTTGTTCATTTCAAGTAGAATGAATCAATAGAACACGTTTCATTGCATGTGTATTTGCAGTGAACTGAAGAGGAGCAGATCTGTTTGCATAGCTTCCAGATCTGTCTGGGAATACTATTATGTAATTTCCTAACCTAAGTAASATCATAGTTTAGAACTCCTGAGTTTCAGGAATAATTACTGTACAGGGTTRTGATCAATTCAGTTTTATACTGCTGTAAAGTAAAGAGCCAGATTGCAAAGCAGCTTGACAGTGACCTTTGTCTTCCACCTCATGTGTTAACCYTAGTAACTGAGAGCACTTGTCTTCCAATTTTTCCCCTTCTTTAAAATACAAGGAAGGAAWGCTATGGCGGTGGAGTGCACAGAAGGTAAAGTAAACCTTTAGTTGTGAATCAATTTTAAAAATCAGTGATTGGGGTGATGGGTTGTTGACCATGTTGCTGGAAGGCATTTGTGGGTTAAGAGCTTTGGTCTAGTGATGTTTGATGCAGCAATCCTTCTGCATGTGCTTCTCTCTCCTTTGGCTGGACACCATAATCTAGAGCACACTTTTTTTGCTTATCTTCTCTCTTCTCTTCTTGGAATAAACACAAAAGATTTGACTTGCAGAAATGCAAAGCCAAAGGTATTTTAGAAAGGTAGTTTGTTTTCTGTGCTCAGCTATGTTTAATAATGGCATGACACTTACATTTGGACTAATAAAGATGGAGTTTCAGCTTCTTGTTTAAACTATGCTTTTGTTGRTGTATTTTTTCACAGAAGATTTAAGTGATCTTCAGGAATCGGGTAAGTGATAAGTTTTGAAAAACTTTAATTTCGAATCTCCATTTTATGTTACAAGTCACTGAAGCCTARCAAGGTTGCAGTATAAACTTTACAGTATTTGCATGTATCTGTAACTGAGAATTGAATAGGACCAGGTGTCATCTTAAGAGCAAGCTTTCTAGTTCCAAAAGATTTAAATTGAAGTATATAGAGAATTGTAAGGGTGCTGTTATCTTTGTAAAGTCATCCAAGGCTAGTCTTCTACATTGCATGCATTGCACACAAATACAAAGGGAATTATCTTTGTTGTCTGTGGTTTCTTGGGAGTCTTAGTTTTAGCATGTTGCTGCTTTCTCACATGATTAAAGTGAAAAAGATGTAAGGTGTCTGGCTGTCACTCATGATATGACGGATGACRCATTTCTTAAAGTCATGTTGAAGTCAGCCAATGTCATGTGAAATGTGTTTAGTGTTTATTTTAGAGGTGTAGATCTGGAGTGTTGCTCCATAAGGGATTATGAGTGATACAGTTTTCCCAAAATCTCAAGTCCCAAAGATCATATAGTTTCCTGTGTTAGATTTGTTTATTCTTGCCCAGCCTTAATTTCAGTCACTGAAGGGGTTCTGTACTACTGTGTGATGTTATCCAGGTGTACCACTTGGGCACACTGCTTACCATTCCTCTTGGCACAGCATTGGCTCTGCCACTCCTCTGTGAAGTACAAAATAAAAGAATTAGCCAGATGATAATCCCTGCTGAGCATTCCCCACCTTGCATGTCTGCATTTTGTTTGGAGAGGATGAGCTGTTCAGATGTCACTGAAAATGCCAATGTGCAGTTTGTGAGGTTCAGAATTTTCTGTGAGCATCTATTCTTTCTTAATCCATAGAACTAGCTATTCACATGCTGTCAGGCTGTGTTTGCTGGAAGAGGGTGAAGGAAATCAGATAAACAACAACATTAACAAAACACCCCCAAGCCCCACCAAAACAAAAAAGAGGGCTTTGTCTTGCATTAAACTAGTAAAGTAGTAGACAAAGCAGTGCCACTAGACCATGGCTAAGGGGAACTTGCAGTGCATTTTCTGTAGTCACTGACATGCTGCTSTTTTTATCTGTTTCAAGCAGACCCTCAAGAAGAGTCGAGCGACAGGCCTGTAGGTAAGTAGTTTTGTACTGGAATGACTGTRTGTATTTGCCATCTAGGAAGCACTTTTTGCTGCTTCTGGATATTGATACTACTGACTCTGCCAGTGCAAGTGGGGCAAATAGAGAGCTGCAGGGAGGGAGATCTGTGGCTGTTTGTGTGGTCCTTTACAATGCTTGCTTGCCCTTTCAGGAGTAAGCTGGGCTGAGGGCACAAGTATTTTTAGTGGCTCTGTGAAACGTCTGCAGTTTCTCATGTGTTTCAGTTTACTGCTCCAGATTCCTGTGGCCAGCCCTTAGCCAGTGAGATACTGCATTCCTCTGAACACTTGGAGGCAGTAGGATTGGGATGATGTGATAGAAAGGATTGCTCTCGTGTCTGCTGAGGGAATGCTGTCCCTGCAAGCTTAGCTCTCCCCGTTCCCATTGCGTGGATGCYTTGATGCTGAGCTGAAGCTCGTTAGGAGACGGAGAGCACATACGCTATGGAGAATACTTGCTAGATTTGTTAAYCACATTCCTAAATTTGCACTGTGGACTTGAGTGGTCAGGCATGTCCTGTCATTGCTAAACCAGGTGGAAAGGCTGCTGGCCTCTGTCAGAATTTCATGGCTCTTTCTGGTTCATCAGTGTGAGGGGGACTGTAAGTGCTCCCCTCTCATGTGGGTAAGCCGTTTTCTTCGGGCTGAAAAGAGAGTTGAGCTGTTAGTRTGGGATGACTTCTAAAATCACATAAAATACTGTTGCTGAAGTGAGATTGGATGCTCTTTCCACTTTGGAAAACCTTAACTTTAATGGTGTTGAACCCATGGAATATATAAACATGACATGTTTTTTTCTCTCTGTGCCTTGGCAGCCACAGACAAGGTGGCTCTGCTAATAGGAAACATGAGCTACTGGAATCACCCCCAGCTCAAGGCTCCAATGGCAGATGTCTATGAATTGACCAATTTGCTAAGGCAGCTGGATTTCAAAGTTGTTTCTTTGCTGGATCTTACTGAGTCTGAGATGCGAAATGCAGTGGATGAATTTTTACTTCTCCTGGATGAAGGCGTTTATGGTAAGAGAACGTGAAATCCCTTCTGAAGTAGGTCAGTTTTGTATGTATCAAGTAGCAAGCATCTGGTGTTTGCCTCTGCTAAACAAGCTTCAGGGTAAATTTTATGTATGCACCCACTAGCATATCCTTTGACTTCAGTTAAAATGGTAGTTCCTTTACTTTTAGAACAGATCAAATGTTAGATTTTTTTTTTTTCTTTAACCACGCCTAAAACTGCAGTGCAGGCTTTTGTTTTGTTTGATAGTACTGATGTGTTTGTCTAGATTTGATTTTGGGGAACAAAGCACAAGCCAGAAGTGGGGAACAGAATGATGGAATTGATGAATGGAGCAAAAGCCTTCCTGTCTTGCATGGAAAAGGCCAAGAGTGACCTGGTTTGGAGTGTAAGAAAAGTGCTTAACATGGGCTTTGAGTTTTCAGTTGATTGCCATTATTTTGTCATTTTTCTAAAAGCTAAGATTGTGTAAAAAACTCCCGAAATTGTTTAGGACAGAGAGCAAAAAATTTTGCCAGGTCCCCTATTTAGATTGCAGAATCCCTGTAGTAAAAGTCCATTTGAGAAAAGATTATTTGGTCCCTTTTTTGGAACACAAGGTCAGCTTATTCCTTAGCATGACTTTTTGTATGGGTGTGTTACCTGATGCTCTGTCTGTGCAGAACTGGCTGCTCTGACATTTGGGCATTTATATCTGTGCCAAAACCTGCCTGACATGAAACCTCAGTCTGGCAAGAACTTTGAGGCTTTTGGAGAGCAGTTTGCTTTTTTTTTATTGCCTGAGAAACAGATGGGCTTGTCTGTGGGGTGAGCTTYGAGATTATTACACCTTCACAATTTTTCCCTATAATTGTGGACATGAATGTAGGAAATAAAGTACTGAAAGGCTTTAATGGGTTTCTCAGCAGCACCATATGAAAACTCTTATATGGCATATTTTTGCAGTTGTACGTTTTCAGACAGTTSATATAAAACGTAAGCAGAAGAGTTTTTCASTGCTGTCTGGCAATAACTACTTCAGTTTAAAAGTTCACCTTATTATTTCTGCAGAGTGACTACTAATGGATTAAAGCCTATAAGAGATGTTGCCAATGCACAAATAGGTAATGATTTATTGCCTTTCTAGTGGGCATAGCTTCARATAGAAGAGGCATACTGACTACTGCTTTTTAGCCCCTGCTACATATAAACCTGCTTCCTAATAGGTTGTGTAATTCTGGGTTACTGCCAGGAAAGTGGCATTTCAGATACTGGTCCTTAAGGGCAGGAGTAGTAAACAAAGTGACGATGATTGTCTCCTCTGAGGTCTCTGTTTGTGCTGCTCTAAATATAGGTTGCAATTAACATTGTATTCCTCACAGGGTAAAAGCACAGACCTGTATGTTTGAAAGGCTAAAAATATTTAGGCTGCTTTCTTTTTAAATGAGAGGGAGGGAGGCAGAYACCACTTAAATGCTGACGTCTCTGAGGAACTTGAGCCTACTTAAAATTGTTGTGTGCAAGTCTCCGTTGAGGCCCTCCAAACATGTTTACTCCACTTACCCCAGGTATGTGCAGATTTATTTCTGATCTTGAGCTCAACACATTAACTGTTGCAGGTACTAGGCACACACCATAGCCCAGTCATCTGCCAAGGATAGAAAAGGAATGTAGTCAGTCAGTCCAATTACTCATGGAATATACACTAAAAGAATCTCAAATATACATAGAATATACATAGAATCTCAAATAYAACCCTGGTTTAGATTGATTTCCAAGCTCTGGAAATCACATTGAGACTTTCCTATTAACTCAGGACCTGACACRAGCTCATGCAGTTGCACTTCATACCACTTTTAGCTCTCCTGACACTCGCTAGTCTCAGGTAGCCAGTGGAATCTTAGAAAGAGCCCACTAACACCTTTATTTGTTCAGGCTTCATTTGAAGGGCCAGAGTATCAGCTCGGTATTCCTTCCCAAGAAGTGCAGGGCTGGGATAGAAGTGTTTTCATTTCTTGCAGCTGTGTGTAGTGAAAAGGTGAAAACATCTAGCATGCCAACCTCCACAAGCCAAATTAACAGTAGRTCATCTTAGTATGTTAGGGTGAGGCTTATTTTGGGTTTTCCCTGAATATGCCACTGTTGGAGTAACTTCAATTTCTCAGCAATTTTTAGTAAGAGTAACAACGTAAGAATATAATGTCTCCAGCCAGCATAAATTGTCAGATTTCTGTTGACTTTTATTCAGCTGAGCACAACATTCTAATTGCAGATTTGACCACAGGCTACTTTGACTAAATAAATAAAAATTCTTTTCCAAAGATGGAATTTGCATCATTAAGGATAACTGACACTGGGAACAGGCARCAGGAAAATTCATCTAAATCATAGAAGCCTCTGGTAACAGCATTTTATGGCAGTAGAGATTATTAATTCTAAGATCATCTAATCTTCATGCAAATTTATATGWCTATAATACTGGAAATTTTTATTCATGTAAGGAAAAGCTAAGCCCTAGCTTGCAGTTCCCTTTTTCAGGGTTGAGAAAAGCTGTCTTTAATTCCATGATAGGGTTATTTTTTCTCCAAAAATATTGCATGTTTTGTTGAAGATTTTAAGTCTTAAAATGTTGTAGACTGTTGTGTAGTGACACGAGGGAGATATGTCTTGGTAAGTATGCAAAGTGTTTGCTTGTTTAGTAGACACAGAAGAGTCATGAGTCTKTTATAGGAGATATAGCTGCAATCAACTGAATGTGAGCTGTTGGTAATTTRGTAATGGAGATGTGTTCTGGAGTCCTACCAAACTCTTCAGCGTTTTTATTTTCTGTCTATAAACTCTGCAGAGTTACTGCTGCTCAGAGCTTTGTTACTGAACATGTGGAGAAAATGTTTTATAGTTGGCACATTTCCTTGTTCCCATCTGTGAGTTACGCATCATACATAACAGACTCTTTCTGTTAGAGGTCATAACTACTTAGAGCATGTTAAGAGTGTTTCACTTGGTCTGTYGATGCAATTATCTAACTGGTTCTATTGCATGTGTGATTTTTGCTTCTTTTAATTTATTGTGTTTGTRTATTGTGGAGTTGATGTTGAATGGCTTGGAGTGGCTTCAGTGAACTCCCTGTCCCACAGCCACGTGCTGTGCCTGAAACTTCTGACATGCTCAGTGCTCCAATGCACTGCTCACTGTGCTTTCAGTCACACCTGTTTCAAACTCAGGTTTGTTATACTATGCTGGCCACGGCTATGAAAACTATGGGAACAGTTTCATGGTTCCTATTGATGCTCCAAATCCCTACCGCTCAGCAAACTGCCTGTGTGTGCAGAGCATCCTCCGGCTGATGCAGGAGAAGCAGACGGGACTCAACGTCTTCCTGCTGGAYATGTGTCGCAAAAGGTATCCCCTAATTCCTGGGTGCTGAGAGCTGACAGCAGCTCTGGGATCTGAACAGAAACTGGGCTCCTGCTGAGGAGAAGGCTTTAGGCTGAGAACTCACTGTACTGCAAAGTTCATGGTTCWGAGAATTCACAGCCTGCACCTGAGTGCTTTTAGCAGCAGTAGGATTCATCCACAGCCTTCCTCTGCCTGTGGCTTTGAATGGAGATGTGAACCTGGTGGCTGGACTCTGTCCCTATGGCTGCATACATACCCGCCTCGTGATTTGAATGACATTTATTTCTTACTTCATTGTTATTGTTGTCTTTCAAAAGTTATAAACACACTGATCAGATAGAAGTGAAATTGGGCATCTTGAAGAAGAAACCCTTTCTCCTGGCATCATTATCTATCTTCTTCATTGCAGGGAGAGAGGAGAATCCTTGTGATCAAAGGCATGTTAATTTAGCAGACTTGTAGGAGTGAAACAAATTACTGGTTCTGAACTYCGCTTTTTTTTATTTTGAATTTGTTACTATTATTAGTTCTCAAATTATTATTTAGCTTTCTTGTGTTTCCATTCATTACAGAAATGAATATGATGACACARTTGTTATCTTGGATGCTCTGAAGGTTACGGCCAACATTGTTTTTGGATATGCAACGTAAGGAAATCTTTATTCTGTGCCACAGAAATGACTGAGATTGTATAGCCAATCTTTCCAGAACAGTGCTGTGGGCCAGCTGTTGCTCACTTTTCAAGTGTAAAAACTGCTGAACAGCAGTAGTCAGGAGCTTTACTAAAGTCTTCTATAATAAATTTAAGCTCCTTACATAAGCAGTTTGCTGAACAGRTCTGGTTTGTGATGTCATTGTAAAAGAAGGCTCCCCTGAGCTGCTTGCAAGAGAACACAAAGAGCAGGCTGGCCTTGGACCACAACCTAGTTTTCAAATTGTAGGGTTTCTTTCCCCTGTTCYCAACATAAATTTAGTCCTAATCATTTAGATTTTTCAGTGGTTTTTCCTTATCTGATGCTGATGATCTCACAGGTGCCAAGGAGCAGAAGCTTTTGAAATTCAGCAGTCGGGGTTGGACAATGGAATCTTCATGAAGTTCCTGAAGGACCGTTTGTTAGAAAACAAGAAAATCACTGTTCTGCTTGATGAAGTTGCAGAAGGTGAACTCCAGCTTACTGCACTAAGTCTCCTCAGCCTGCATTACTGAAAGCAACTGTGCTTCCATGTTCTTCCTCTTGTGGAGAATGTGCTACACTACTTAAAGCTCTTTCTTGTGTTTTGTTCAAATAGCAGCTTTTATCAAGAAGTGGGTGCTACTGGGCAGCATATTGACATGATTCTAAGCTTCTTTAACAGTGTTCAATTTTATACTTTCCTCTGCTTTGAACCCTATTTGTCCTGAGTATCTTTCTGCATGGAGCTTTGAATTGTCTATCCACAATGGACAATTCTGCTCTTCTGCCCCATGGTGCAAGCTGCTTGTGGTGGTCCAGTCATCTGTATGTTCATTTAAACAATTAACAGAGTCCTACCTGCCTCAGAGTGCTATAGCAATGACAATGATTTGCTCTCTGGCAAGAACTATAAGTTCTCAAAGTGCACTAAAAAGGGACAATGCACTATGTTAATATGCCTTGTTCAGTGATTGTATTTTTGAATTGATAGGAGAAGCACTTAAGTGAAAAAAGTGTGGAGGGAAAGCACTGTGCTTCTGTGCAAACATCTGCTCCAAGCACAGAACTGTRTGTGTAGGTGCATCAGCCCAGCTCKCCCCTGGGYTCAGCAGCCTGGGGCAGCTGCAGGTTGCAGAGGTTTGTCTTCTGTTCAGGATTGCAGAGAAAAATGTACTTGTCAGGCATCATGATAAGGACACTGTGAGTATTGCTAGGTGCTGGGTGGCAGGGAGCACAGCCATGCAGTGCAGACACTGCCAGAGGAATGTCCCCACTAAGTGTTCCATGAAACAGCTCCTGTGAAAAGGCTGCAGCCTGKTGGCACCATGGTTCCTGCGAGCTGCCTTTGCCACAAGAGTGCAGTGCTGGCTCATGGTCAGCTTGGTGGCTGCCAGCTCCCCTRGGTCCTTCCCTGCAAGCTGCATCCCAGTGAGTCAGGCCCTTCTGGACCTGTGCAGGGGATTATCCTGCCTGGGAACAGAACTTGGTGTTCCYTGGTACTGGCCTACTCTGCCCAATTCCACAGCCGTCCAGGACCCTCTGAAGAGCAGTAGATTCTTGTGGGGTAGTAGCTATTCCTTTCAGTTTTTAATCATCTGGATGTGCTGGCATAACCACAGCAACCACACAGCACTGCAGGGAGGTACTTAATTCACTTGGAATTGCAGCAGCATTGATTTTGAAAGAAYTTCTCTGCCTCTTGTTTTTAGATATGGGCAAGTGTCCCCTTACCCAAGGCAAGCAAGCCCTGGAGATCCGCAGCAGCTTGTCAGAGAAAAGGGCACTGACTGATCCCATTCAACAGAGCACATCTTCTGCAGAGTCCCTGGCACGGAACCTGCAGTGGGCCAAAGCTCATGGTACGGTACAGTCTGATGTTAGATGATCCTACTGCCCTGATGGAAGAAAGGAGAGCATGTACTATTGAMTAGAAATGGAAGAAATTCAAGGTTATAGCTGCATTTTCATTACTGTGTTCAGTTGGAAATGTTTGTGTTGGSGTTTACAAGGTGACATATAGAATTCATGTACATCCAGTATATTTAAGACCACTCAGACACTGGAGAGGAGACTTACAGGTTGTCTGCCTTCTGGGACAGTAGCATGTGTGTCGGCCAGTGACAGTTGTAAGATATCACTGATCTCATTCTGAAGTCATCACCTAAAATAGCCACGTCAACTGTGTGGWAAATGTGCATGATGAAAAAGAGATTTCAATGTAGACAGCTAAGAAAAATAAAATAAAAGTGTGATGAGTTCTAGGCTTTTTTTAAGAAGGGCAGTGGTGTTTAAGACCTTTTACCTTTTTCACCTAAACTCGCTGGAGTACATCTTCAAATTTCTTTGACAGATGGGGCAGAGGGTCAGGGGTAGCATTTCTAAGACCACTCATCATATAAGAAGACTCTTTCACAGATGCAGATGTTTATTTGTGATACCAAGTGCTTGATTCTTGTTTGTTAAATGATTGGAAGAGAGAAATGCATATGCTAACTTAGATTTGACTCTAACGATGTGTTATTTATTCCCAGAGCTCCCAGAAAGTATGTACCTTGAATTCCAGTGTGGTGTTCAGATTCAGTTGGGGTTTGCAGCTGAGTTCTCCAATGTCATGATAATCTATACACGGATAGTAAAGAACCCCCCTGAAATTGCAGCTTGCAGAGCCCATGTCACAGACTTCCCACTCGTAAGTGCTTACTGCTGCTGTCTTGTGATCTCACTCCACTGAAGTGGAAAATTTTCTGTTCCATCCATATCAAGCTGCATCTTCTATAATAAAATGGGCCTAAACTGTTGAAACTTCTCAAACTGAAAGAAGTACTATTTTATGATCYACAAATTCCATATCATTAATTAAGTTCTCATTTCTTTCTTGCAACAGGACCTCGATGTAGATCCTAAAGAGGCCAATAAAGGAACTCCTGAGGAAACTGGAAGCTATTTAGTATCAAAGGACCTTCCCAAACACTGCCTCTACACCAGGCTGAGTTCACTGCAAAAACTAAGGGTTTGTGTATGCAATTTGTTACACGTTTGCCCAGATAATTGACACTAAGCATGTTSCTTTGCAGTTCTGTTGAGGCAGCTGGGTATTGCCTGTATAGTAAGTTCTTTGGAGGGAAAACAATGGTAATAACATCGTTTGGTGAATTACATTTCATAGGTTAAAAGGTAAATGCATAGGTAAATGCAGGGAATTGATGCATATGTGATTCTGAAACAGGTGTGCCAGGCCCTTTGTATTTTTCAGGCCCATGCTGAACTTGATCCAGATGGTTATTTTTGCGTGATCACCTGTTGCATGCTCTGAGGGTGTTCCTATGCTGTTTAGGAAGAACATGACCTGAAGCAGAGCTGCCTCTTACAAAGGCATGAGTAGGAGATGAAAATGTTGTGTATCATCAGCCTGTGCTCCTGGGCACACAGTTTTTGAAAGGTTCTCACTTCAGCAGAGTGGGGCACTGTTAAGTGTCTCTTTGTGTCATGAGCATCTGTGCTAGACACAGCCTGGCATCTCTTCAGTGCTTTTGGCAGTTGAAGTAACACAAGTGCTTCTGGAAATAGCGACTGTTCAGTGAACAAGTAGCAACCAAAAGAGGACCTCGGTATACAAGGCTTGCCCAGCCTGTGTCTTTAGCTCCTAAAAAGGTCACTCCCATTCTCCAGGAGATCAGAATCTATCTCAGGGTTTCCTGAAGTGTTTATTTGGAGAGGAAGTATAACTTCTTCTCTCCCCCACTTTCCTCTTTTACAGGAACACTTGATCTTCACTGTTTGCTTGCACTATGAGCATTCAGAAATAGAAGATGCAATGGATGAAAGGAAAGAAGTTAATGTTGGGAAGCCCCTTATTGCTAAATTAGGTCTTCATCATGGATTCAAAACCAAGAACTGTCCTCAGACCTGTTGCATGCCTGGTTATCCTTTTCATAATGCAGTAGAATCGAGTCCAGAGGCAGCTAAATACTACATCCCTAGTCATTGCCAACCCAGTTCCTGTCCACGTGTTTACCATCCAAACCATACTTGCTCAGCCAGCATCACACAACCAGAGGCATCTTCTTGCAATAGGACTTCCAGGATACTGGCTTCAAGAAATGAAGTACAGAATTATTCACCTGCTGTGGAAAGGAGTAATGTACCAGTAGAGACCACTGATGACTCTGTTGAACTGGAATTCTTCACCTCTGACAGCCTCAGCTTCTCTGAATAGCAGGAACTGGGATGTTTTTGGAATAGACATCTGTGAACAGAGGGGCTTCCACACTGCTTCTCCATCTTCTGGAGTTTGGAGGCTTCTTGACAAGGCACTGGAGAGTCCAGAGCAGATGCTGGGAATGAGGCTGGGATGAAAATTTTTCAGAACCAAAGAGACAAAATTGGACTGATAGATTTAGGAATGAAAAACACATGTTGTTTTGGTTGGTTTTTTTTTTCCACCTACTGTTTGTTGCTTGATACAGGGAAAAATCTCAGCTCAGAGTTTCCTATTCCTTTCTCTGGCCATCRTATGTTAGGATCAGTCACTGTGCCTTGGATGTAGTCAATAACTGGCTCTGACTGCATTCTCTTCTCTGATGGTCCAGTGTCCAGTGTCTCAGATGGCAGCATCTGAGATGGATTAAGATCTGTGCAAGAAACCCAAAACCTGGTTCTTCGGGCAAGCTACAAGTGACAGCCATTTCCTTAGGCCCAGGTCCAGGAAAGCACTTTAAAAGTTCAACATGCATAAATTAAGTTAACATTTAAATCTCAGTGAAATTGGTGGGATTAWAAGACAAGCCTAAACCTAGGCAAATGTTAAAGCTCTCTTTGGCTTGTGGTGCCCTTTCTGAATTGAAGCCTCAGGGTTTGTTATTTTCTTGCGGYGCAGTTATTTGGAGATAATTATTTTTTCGAAGTATCTGGCAGGCCAAGTAACTTTGCCCTCTGCTTTAGCATTACTGTGTGGTTTTGTGTAACTCAGGTGTTTGTTACCCGGGTTTGGCWGTTGAATAGGTTTAGAAAAAAAGGTTTAAGGTAATCCAAATAAACTCAGGCTTCTCTGGCAAAAGAAGAGTTCATATGCTTGAGAAAGTCCAAGACACTTCTTCCRTTGTCCCTCACCATACTGCAGTAAGGTGGGAGTGACTTTACTTTCTGTACCTCCATGGAGCTCTGATGGCAGACTCTTCTTGTTGTCCTGACAGTCCTGAAACTGCCTCTGGCTCCAGAAAACCATCTGTACCTTGGAACGGTTAAGCAGAACATTTCAGCACTGATGTTGCAGTCTCTGCAGTTACTGCTTTGGTTCAGCATCAACTACTTTTCCTCATTCTGTCAGCTAATTAGGAACTTTGGCAGCTCATATGCAGTGAGCTCTTGGGCTATGTTCACCTTGACATAAACTTCTCACTTATGTGGGTGTGTTTCAGTRTTGCTTCCTCCTTGCACAGAATTTTACTTTAGGCACAGTAAGATCTGCTCTCTTTTTTAGAGTGTAGCATTTTGAGCTACACGGTTTTTGCTGGGAATTGGAGAGAGGTTTAAAGTATCAGGTGGAGAAAACCAGGTTGGGAATTTCAGGGAGTTTGGTTTGGTGTTTTTAAAGATTGATCATTTATTCATGATTTATTATTTATTCATTGCAGCAGTCTAGAAATTGAGAGAGGACACCTCCAYGTTCTGGAAATTAGGCAGTTACTAATTTCAAAGGCATTGCTGCAGCAGTTTAGTCATCCCAAGCTTATTTTAAGAGCTAATGAGAAGAAATGCTGTCTCCCATCCTTACTGTTGGCACGCAGCGAGCAGGAGCCCAGGATCCCTGTGGAGGTGTGTTACCACAGCGACAGCCTTCATCTCTGGTGGATGCGGGAGCAAGGGGCCAGGACTTCCCCATCTGCCCTTCAGATAGAAGCTGCTGGCATTCTGCTTTCAGCTTTCAAAGTCACTTGCAGTTAGGATGAAAACTCTTCAACCTGTTACACAAATTTCTTCACTACACATAAGATGTAGTGAAGATGCTTCTTGGGCTCTCTGATGRCTTAATGTGGTGGTTAATAGTATGCATGACACCTGCCTTGCAGGACCAGGATTAGTCCAGAAATTTTTCAGGACTGCTTTGAGATACTAATAATGTACCAAATCCAGTATTTYTTGGTATGTAAGAAGCATGACAGTTTTTTAAGAAGGTACAAAGTCACTAAAATACCGGTTTGCTGATTCTCAAAGCTTTGGAGTCTTTGTTTCATGCCTGCTTTAAGGATACACAGAAAACTGCTGCAGATTCTGGTTCGGTATTGCAGCTGCAAGAAAACAYGTTCTTGAAACACCCATTGGATTATCAACTCTGATTTTAGTGGAAATGGGGGTTCATTTTAACCAGAAAATAGCTGTGCTTCATGCCAAGCGCCATTTACCTTTGCTGGCAGGTAGAGAACTCCAGCTGCAGTTTGCACCTCAGTGCATCCCAGCACAGAAATCAGAGGTGGGACTCATTACCACTGCAGAGCCTCCTTGCTAGTTTCTTTCATGCTGTGTGCATTGGGATAATGCAGGTTTTAACACGGGTACAACATGCATTCCTTTGGTGGGATGCATGGGGGCACGCTGCATGCCAGCTGGGTGCAATASGAGTGAGTTTTACTTGGAATGAGGTGTTTTACCCTCTTCTCTGTTGTTCCCTTGCCACCAGAATTCCTTCTCCTTTCTAATCTGCTGAGAAGAGCCACATGCCCAGGAGGCCCTTAGTAGCCTGTGTATGCTGGGACACCTTTACACCTACCAACATCCTGGTTCTATAAAAKAAATCCATGGGAACTCTACATCTCTGCTCCTGGCAACCCAGTAATCTCTTTGTTTCTTTWTAAGCTCTGATAAACAAAAACCTTTTGTTTTGTGGAGACTGTAGGTTTCCACAACTGGAAAAGCTCTGTCAGATGTCATGTAACAGTTCTTAACAGAATATGGTATCTAAGAAGGATTAAACTCAGGTTTGTTACTTAAAGATTCCCAAGAGAAATAACTGCCTTTTCTCAACTAATTCTATTTACAGTTATTTTCCTCTTAGACTCATTAGTTACGGTATTTTCTTATTGCTATAGTCTTGGTACTAGCCAACAGTCACAATACAGTTAATATATAATATATAGTTAATAATAGGGCTGTCTTGAGAATGGTATTAGTAATGTTTTCCTYATACAAGTGATCCTGAGTCATTGGTGACAGCAGCTTGTCAAGCTGGCAGATGGTGCCTCTGTAAGAAAACATGTTTTCTTGCCTTGCTCCTTAGTTCATTCCCAGACTGAGCAAAGAGAACTCTGTAGTAGCATCTGTTGATGGAATAGTTCCTGTTAAACTCCATCTGCCTTCCAGCTCTAGGATGTTCAAACTGTGGTGTATATGCAAGGTACAAAAGGTGTAATTATGATTCTGATATATCACAAGCTGGAGTGGGTTTAGTTTTGTGAGATGTATATTTGTGGACAGTTCTAAGAAGTAATGCAAAATCTCATGAATAGAGAGATGATGCTCAGCAGCTGCCTTTACAGCCTGCATTGTTATTTGCACCCATGCAGTGCAAGATGGAGATTTTGCCTGATCTGAAGCCAAGCCAGTTCTTGCATGGTGGGTGCGGTGGGAGCCTAACTTCTGAGGCAGAGGTTCCAGGGGGGCAGGGACAAAGAGAAAAAATCCCTAGGGCTATAAGGGAGGATGAGTGCCCCAGCCAATGTGAGCCTGTAATCTGGCCAAGCAGGCACAGGCATCCCCCAGCACTGCCAGCAGTGACAGCAGTGGGTGCCCTGCCAGTGGCTCCTGGTGGCCACCACACTGCCGTGAGAAAGCCGTGCTCAGTTTTCTGGGGTAACAGCAGATCAGCTGGAGGAACACATGCCTCAACACTTCCCMTGTGCTCCCACGGGGAGCAGTGCTCTGTCACTGGGGGACCCTTCCAGGCAGGTAACACTGCTGTAGCTGTTCCTTCCACAGGAAACAAGCCAAGAGCCTGCCTATGAGCCCTTTCATACTGCAGAGGGGAAAGCCATCTGGGACTGCTRATCTGGCTGATGAAACTGAGCACTCAGGCAATGCTGAGCCATGAAACCCTYGGGGCTGGAGCTGGATACTCCCCTGGTGCTTCTCCCCTCCTCTGTACCCAGGAGATCGTCCTAGTCTCCTGCCTCCCTTTGYGAATGGGTTGTCCCCAGTGCTGGCACATGCGAGGAGCAGTGTGGCATGCCACAGGGTGATGTGGTATGCCTGCACAAGTGTTTTCCTAACTCCCAGAATATTTCTGGTGGTGTAGGTTGTTGGGTACTTTTAACACTTCTGTGGGGTAGCAGAGCACTCACCAGCTGGAGGGTCAGAGCAGCTTCCCTRCCTCTCACCATGCTGACACAGGCAAAGTCATCACGGATGGAGCATGTGGAAGYGGGTAATGCCAAAGCAAGCCCAGTAAGGATTTAGTGAACTGGCAAGGACAGGATATGTACCCTGGCCTAGGGGGACTGCCTACAGTAGACCCTGGGGGTCAGGCYGGCAGTAGAGGGAAACTGCCAACAAGCTGTTTGAGCTGCAGCCAAKAGACAGCTCAGTTGTTATAAAATTCTGTCTGGTGGGAGAATCACTGCAGAGGCAGCAGTATCTGCAACTTGAAAGAAATGTAAATGTTGATAACAACCCTTGTCTGTCCTAGGGAGGGACAAAAAGCCAGGTCACACCAGCCACCAGCCCCTGCTGGGGGCATCTCTTGCTGATGACTGCGCATGTAGGGATTTGTTCAGTAGACTTTTATGGCAGCCAACAGGGTTTGTTGGCTTGTTTGTTACACAGAAAGTAGTGTTGTTACGCAAACTAAATGGAATTTGTATAATCCTGACTCATYTTCGGTAGGTGGGGATGAATCAGATGTCCTTCCTCCAGCAGGAGATGCCAAGGACCAGCATGCAAAGTCTGAGTGCTTGAAAGACTCCCCAGCCATGCTGGCCACAAATCAGCAAGGTGCCTTGATTTTACCTTTACTTCTATTGTAGGAAGATCACCACAGGCAGCTTGGAATCAGCAAGCACAGCCAGGCTGAGCTGCTGCTGCCACCTTAATCTGTGAGGATAGTGTTTCCTGAAATAAATAGAGAAAAAGTAGCAGAAAAGTCACTCTTGGGTTCCTCCTTTTATTATGTGCTTATTCCGTGTTCAGCTATGGGTTGGCTATGGAAAGGCAGAAGTGCAAGCACGGCTGCTGCTGGTCCCGACTGCCTGTGTGCCCATTCCCTGTCACATCCATGGTCCCCAGTGCCCCTCTCCCCAGCTGTCCAGGTGCCAGTCCCGAGGGACCAGCAGGAACTCCACCACCAAGCTGTGTCATTTGGGTTGGATTTCTCAAGCTCATTGACAYCTGGAGCTATGCAGTGTCTCCCACTTCCAAGAGCCTCCCAAAGCAAGGATGTGCCKGTGCCTGCTGTGCCTGTTCTCCACCCACTTGGGCTCTGGAATACAGTGTCTTCTCTCACTTCTTGGTCTCCTCTTCTGAGAAGGAAATGCCTGGAGCACACAGATGGTGTCTGCCCCTGCTAAGACCTGTGAGTCATGGCAGCATGACCACACCTTGCAGGACACAGCCGTTTGGCAAGAGGATGTATATATAAACTGCTGGTAATTTCTGTCTTTCATTGCTTGAAGTGATGTATTGAGTGGTTTGGTAGGATATATACTCAGTTACACAAAGATTTCCTGAGAAAATGGTATTAGCATCGAGAACAAAAAGGATGTTTTGCAGCAACACTTGCTCTCCTTGTGTGGTTTGTAGGATCACTGCATGGGTGTTACAGTATCGACTCATCTCCGGCCCTGTGTTCAGGTTCAGCATTCTCCTTTTGCTGTGTAAATGCAGGGAACACACAGCACAGGAGCTGTTGATGGCACCATCTGCAAAAGCCTAATGGCTCATTCATTAAGCAATGGGAGCCAGCACCACCACAGTCGAATCAGATATTGTATGATGAATAATTCAGAAATAATCCTGGTATACTTGAATAAATATCAGAAGAAGGAAGGAAAAAGCCCCATACATATGGCACATTAAGGGAACAAAACAGGCATTCTTCAATGTGCCAGGCTGCTGAGCTCTGGATGTTAATCATGCAGGTGGCTAATGCCTGACAAGGAGCTGACTGAGGGGTTCTGGCCCAGCACTCGCAAGGTGTTTGTAAGCAGAAAAAAGCACAGTGCTCATGGGAAGATCCATCAGCCTTGCACTCTGCAATATGCCTGTGGTTGTGTTGTCTRACCGGGGGCTGTGGCAGCATTGAGCTGGGGAGGTGATGGCTGGGCCTGGGGCTGTGCTCCTYGGGCTGTTGGGAACACGGCAGTGATGAGCTGTGTGCTGTTCTCAGCACCTCCTGCCTGCACACCTTGAGCTGCTGCTCTGGCTGCAGGACTGCTSTGGTACACTCACAGCACTAAGTGGACAGTGCTTACGAGAACTCTGGGCTGGTAAGATGCCCTATAAATGGTGTATACAAACATAAGGTATTRCGATGGATGGATGGAAGGGATGACAGTTTTAAATTGACACAGGGCAAGACTGGATTGGAAATAAGGAACAAATTCTTCCTTATGGGGGGAGTGAGGCACTGGCACAGATTGCTCAGAGGAGCTGTGACTGCCCCACCTCTGGGAGTATTCAATTTCTCCAAAAACGGTACTCTGTTGCAGAAGAAATGCCTTTCCAGGTTTTGACAATCGTCAAGTCACACAAGTTTTCTATTCCATGTCTAGAAGTGCCTGGGCTTAAAGGCATCCTTTTGCCAAGATGTAACCTTGTGACAGTTCTTGCAGCCATCTGCCATGAACACCAGTCCCACCGCTTGGCAGCTCGAGGATGAGSCAGCGAGTGCTGCAAGCATATGGCCTGTGTACCAGGTCTGCTGCATGTGCAACACTGAGTCTCATTTATGTGTGTATTTTGAGCAAGGCCCTTTTTTCCCACTGGGAATACAGTCAGGACTTCATCCTGTAGTGCATATGTAGGTGAGAGTGCCTGAGGTGTGTGTGCACTGCTCTTGCCTGTTCAGAGGAGCTGTGACCTCTCCAGCACGGCACAGCTCCCGTTACGTGTGGAAAAACTGAGATAATGACTGTCACTCCTCACAAACAGAATTGTTTTAAGCCCATGATCCTCATTAACCAACTCTGATTCCTTTGGATAATGCTTAGTTTGCTCTGGTTTGTTAAAAGCTGGAAAAAAAAAAGCATTATTAAGCCCTGACAAATCTTCCTGGCATTGTATTGTATCTGAATCGGCATCTCTTCTACCATTGATCAGAAATGGGAGTCTGTTGTTGTTCAAGACATAGCAGTATTTGTGCTTTTACAGCATTTAATATCCTGAGGGTTGTTACAGTTTCTCACTCTTCATGCTACTTGGGCATTGCAAATGYTCACTCTGTAGTTAAAGATTCTTTCCTGCAGACAGATAACAAGAGTTGCCAACTTCTGTGAACACAGTCTTTACATCTGGGGGAAACTGCCTGTTTGTGGAGATGTTCCACAGCTCTGGGCAGTGTCAGTGCATTTCTCCCCACCAAAGTCCTTCATCTTATCTCCTGTGAGATCACCTTCTTTTAATAAATAYCATCTTTCTAAAAGCAATCCTGGAAGTTTTAATCCAAAATGTAATAGGAGACTTATTTTAATAACCAAGAAAGGATATAGATTTTTTTTCCCCAAGAAAATACCTAGAGATTAGTGGTAGGAGCATCTGAAAAGGTGAATTTTAATTGTAAGGTTTTTTGAAAATACTGATTGAAGTTAAAAGAAAAGTACCACTAATGTTAAAGAAAATACCACTACATTCTAAACAGTGGTAAAAAGAAAAATAGAAGCATTCTAAAACAAGAAATGCAAGCTTCTGCTCTGCACTTGTTGATCATATGCTACAAGAGATTTTATGGTGAAAAAAAGYACTGGAAGTAACAGACAGAATTAACTATTTGCCAAAAGCTGTAAAGCTATTACTCTTAAAGAGAAATAGGATTGGAAATATGGAATCTGTATTTCRCCCTTCTTGTTTAAGSTAAACATGTTTTGATAGCCGGAAAGGAAATGCTTTGTTATTTTCCTCACCAAAAGTAGGGAAGGACAAAAAAGGCAGCATTTATTCTGACATAGAAAAATATTAAATGTAAATTTACTTTAGTTTTGATTGTGTCAATCCACTTGCAAAATCTTCTTTGGCTCCAGCACATCTTTAATGCACAGAAGCCCTGTTTGTAGCTACATGTGATGCAGTTAAAATTGATCTCTGTACAGAAGGCAGAGGATAAATACACCACTGTTTGGAGTTCTGAATTTCAAGAGCCTTAAAATCCTTAGAAGTTAAATAATTAAGGAGTTATTGCACACATGTTCAGCGTTCACTGCAGCATCAAAGGGAAAGTGGTCTGACTTGGCAGCACTCCTTGCTGRCTGCTCAGAAGAAACAGCAGGCTGCACGGGAGGGAAAGAAAWTTCTTCAGGGATAGAAAAGGAGGGGCTTAAGATTTACCTGGTTTCTGGAGAAAGAAGCATGAGCTCCACAGCTTCATCAGCAAAAGTGACCATGAGATCCCATCTCAGAGCTGGAGTCCAGCTGGAAGGATTCACTGATGGTTGTTTCATTGGTTGGGATGGAGACTGTCCACACAAGGACAGCGGTGTGGGGGACTTGGATCCTCATTGCTGCAAAGCCAAGGGAGAAAACTGGACAACCTAAACAAGGAGAATTCCTTCCAACACTGGTTCAAAGGATTATGTGGCATAGCATCTGGGGGAGTGAATGAGACCTCTGGT